GCATGACGCACATGCATGACACACACGCATGACGCACATGACACACACGCATGACGCACACGCATGACGCACACGCATGACGCACACGCATGACGCAGGCTGCAGAGCTGCTTGTGTGCAGGAAAGTTGCTTTTTAATTTGGGCTGGACGCCATACAAACTGAAGTTTACTCATTAATTTTGTTAGCTGACCTGAAGTTAGCCAAACTTAGAGGAAGCTGACGTGAAAACGTTACTCCATTACAGTTCACCGTGACATGAAGCGGAAACAGTTACCATGACAATATGCTGATAAGGTTACCATGACAACAGCATATCAATTCATTAACAACCTGAGGTCACCTCCCATCAGAACCGGTTCCCTAAGACCCATGTACCTTCTGGACACGTCCATCAGAACCCCTGAGAAGGTCCGCTCTCCGACCCGGAAGGACACCACCAGCGCGTCATCGATCACGTGGTCCAAGCAGACCCGGACCTCGGATCCTGGACTCAGATCCAGTACAGAGGTTGGCTGTGGGCCGATGGATTTGGGGGTTGAGTCCAGTCCGCCCCGAACCGTTGTTTCTTGTCCTGCCGAACTTTCACAGTAGCCGGAATCTGGTTCTGGACGCTCGGCCGTTTCGTTCAACACAGAGTTCTCCGCGGGCCTAGGACCTAGGTCCGCCTGCATCAGACCCATGTAGACCCGTTCCGCGGCCTCAGCTCGATCCGTCGTGACGTTGGTGGTGGGCTCGGCAGGTTCGGCCAGGGACAGTCCTGCCTCGGTACCGGGCGGGGGGTCGGGGAGGGAGTGCAGAAAAACTGCGGAGTGCTGCGGGTCCGGCAAAATGGTTCGGTACGACCCACCGCTCTCGGAGCCGCTCCGGTCCACCAGAGCCCCACTCTCCGGCCCCCTTCCCGCCTCGGGCTCGGGCCTGTCATGGCGGTCGTCTCCATGGTCCTCCATCTGACTGCACAGACCCAACTCTGCGGAACGGTTCGGTTCCGCGGGGAACTTCGGGTGTTCTGTGTCTACTGGACCCGGTTCTGGAGGGCAGTCATCGTCCGTTGCCGCGATCGTTATTGTTGTTGTCAGAACCGCAGCTGCTGGCTCTGAAGCCACAGCCGCCATTTTGTTTCGCTGTTCCGATGAGCGGCAGGTAGGCCCCGCCCCCTTCCTCGCTGCTGAACACGATTCTGCTATTGGCTGAAAATCCTGTCAGTCAAAGAAAACGAGGCACATCGATTGCTGAATGGCTAATTTAGCGGCTTCTGTGTGACGTCAGACGTCTTATTTTTACAACAAATCACAAAAAGAGCAAAGACATACACATAAATCAACATTTGATAGATCAAATTCAATCTATTTATTTATTAAATTGATAACCCGTTGGCCAAGGAGCTGCACTGAAAATAAACTAACTTGAAATGTGAGTTTTGCTGCTAAATCAGAGCAGAGGCAGCGTCTTGTTTTCATTCCACCTTTATTTCTACACGTGGCTCCAGAGATATTTTTCTGCAGGTGTTAAGGGGGGCTAAGCATTTTACTGAGGGTGCTATGCAGGATCATTTGTTCTTTCAGATCTCAAGGTCAAGGTGTCTTTACTGTCATTCACATCACATGTGGTACATGAGGTGGAACAAAACTATGTACACAGGGTCCCAGTTACATCCAACAAAACTACAAATTGTAAAGAAAAACAGTGACAAGATCTAAGACATGAACTAAAAATATACTAAGCACTACTAGTACAAAACAATGTCCCAAACAACAGCAGCACGAACATGAGTCTGTGTGAGCAGAGGAGGACGAATGAACACAGCAACATGAAATAAATCAGCAGCATGAGATCAGCAGCACACATCAACAATCAAGTGCAATCAGTGATGATCCTGACCAGGGTCACGAGTCTAACAGCGTCAGGGCAGAAACTTGTAGCAATAACGAAGGGTGAGATGGAGGAAGAAGGGCGACACTTTCTCCACCTCACCTCCACTACATTTGATTGATTGATGTTTCATTGATTAAAGAGAGAGACCAGCTGATCAGTTACTGATCAACAACTACTTCATTAATATTTTCACCCTTTAATGATCAGAATCAGTCACTGAAGTAGAATCTGTTCATTACAGGGAGTTCTAGACCAGAACAATATTCATCTGAAAGAAGAGATCAAAGTTGTCTTTGAAGTTTTATCACAACAATAATCAAAGTAACAATCAACAACAATAATAAACAAACATCAATAATCAATCAATCAATCAATCAATTCAACTTTATTGTCCATAACATTCAATGAAATGGAGATTTGTCTTTGACATATGGCTTATAAAACAAAATAAAAATGTGATTAAAAACTCTAAAAAACTTAAAACCAAACTTTGCTAAATCAATTTAAAACATTCAGTTAAAACCATTCTAAAATACACGATACATTAGAATATGAAAACTTCTCAGCAGACAGTGGTTTGTCATGTGAGGCTGCGTTTAAATAGAACCTTGTTAAGTTCATTCACCGCAGAGGGAACAAATGACTTTTTGTACCATTTTTCTTTGCTAAAGGAACCAGGAGTCTTCTACCAGATGGTACCAACCTGAATAATGGTTGCAGTGGATGAGTTGGGTCATTGTGAACCTGGATTGCCTTTTTTTCCAGAACCTGACTGTACAGGTCTGTAGGTGTCATTTGTTGATGACCAATGACTTTACTACCTTGTCTGACCACCCGGGACAACTTGTTCCTGTCTCTGACTGGGAGGTTCCCACATAATGAATCAATGAAGGTTTAATTCTCTTATCCGAGCCTAAATTCACTCTTTGAGCAGGAATTATTTCAGTTTTAGACGCGCATGAATTCAGACAAAGTTTGAATATTTTAATAAATAGTTTACTTTGGATTTTAGTTGAAAGAAGTTCTTGAATGTGATCCGATAAAGTCATTTATCATCACTGCAAGCAGGAAATGATTAATCAAGTTGTATCAGCTAAAAATGGCCTAACCAGAGGCATCATGGGACCAATTTCTGCTCCTTACTGGGTCAGTGTTGAGGCATCACTCGTCTTTCTGGGGTTGTGCTGGATCAGACCAGGATAGACCACGAGGAGGACTCACTGGGACCTGCCCAAAGGTAGCTGACCGTGCTGGCTCCATCCCCAGCTGTCCAGCGTTAGCAGCATTCTCCACAGATGTGGAAGGATGGCAGCTTGATCCTTCTTCAAATTATTCTTTATTTGTTGGCTGCAGTCTGAATCCAAAAAATCCTCCTTCCTGATTCCATTCTAGACAATCTGGGGAATAGAAAACGGTCCATTTTTACATTTCGTGCACTTTTCAAATGTTTACCGAACTTTTAGTAACTTGAATTTTCACTTCCAGGTCAGAGGTTCATTTCCTGTTGAGAGATCAAATTTTTTTTAAAACTCAATATAATCTTTTTTTTTTTTTTTTTAATTATTAAAAAAAAAAAAATTCTGGTTCTAGAATTGCACCGCTCCAGGTGGCTGCACGTTGGAGCAGCTCTGTTACTTTCATTCTGAGATTTTGCTTTTGGAAACTTTAATTCCTCTTTTTCTGGATGTAAATCACATTTGTTGGATGATTGTTTCCTCTGGTATCAGATGCTGTGCAGCTGGAAGGATTTTTACTGAAACTTTTTTGGTTTTGGACATTTGTTATGATGCGTAACCATGGCAACAAGGCAGTTTTCTACAACAACAGCAGCTGAATAACATCTCAAAAGCTCAAATAATATCTCAACTATGGCCCCAACTCTCAAATGAGTTGAAAAGGATGTTATGTGGACGCATTCTCATCTACCGGCCGGCTGTGCTAGGGTGCCTGATCGCTGGGGTCCTGGAGCTGGCAGGAGACGCAGCTCACGACAGCGGATAGACGGGGTCGTCCCTCGGCACCTGCAGTTGGCTGTCCGCGGCTGTGAGGAGCTCGGCAGACTGCTGGGAGGAGTGGCCATCGCTCTGGGAGGAGTTCTGCCCAGCATTCAAGCGGTCCTACAGTCCAGGGGAAACGAGAGGCCAGCCTAGTCTGGGTGGACGGATCAGACAGCATCTGCAGCCAGTTTCTTAGGATCCACTGTGGGATGGACCTTTACAAGAGATCCTTCCTGCCTACAGCATCAGCATCTATAACATCTCTTAATGAAATGAGGATAACGAGTTACAACAACAAATAATTTCCCTTTGGGATTAATAAAGTATTTTTGAATTGAATTGAATTGAATTGAATTAGTTGTGTTTTGCGAGGAAAATATCACAACCACATATTAAATAATATTAACTTAGATGAAAAAGAAAATAATCTGATATTTTCTTGGGGGTGCTATGACTTTTACAGTGGGGGTGCTATAGTGCCCCCCTGGCACCCCCCTGGCGCCGCCTATGATACAAGTTAATCCCATTGAGCCTCGGGGACTCGTTTACAAGAGAGACCTGATTTTAACAGAATCATGACAACAGTAGACAATCATAAAGGATGTGTATGAATTGAGAATAACAAGTGAAAATAAAATGGTATTTAAAAGAAAATGTCACCAAAATAAAAACAGCTAGGTTGTAAGGCAGTGTAGAAAACTAAAAACAGGAACATGTCTGCGTTGGTTCCAATGACTACGGTGACATTATTTACATGAACGCTCCTACAAGAACCCTGCAGATGTTGGATGCTGCAGATGTTGGATGCTGTCTATCATGGTGCACTAAGATTCATAACTGGCTGTAACTACCGTACCCACCACTGCACCCAGTATTCACTGGTTAACTGGTCACCATTAACTTCACACAGACTCTCCCACTGGTACATTTTCATCTTTAAATCACTTCCTGGTCTGCTGCCTTCATACATCTCCTCCTACATGTCTCTGTGTGAGTGCAGCTACAGCGTGCGCTCTCAGGACATTATTACCTGCAGTATCCTGATGCATGCTCAATAATCCACGTAGAAAAATCTAAAAAAGTTCAATCTGGTCCTCTGGACATTCAAAAAACAAAACAAAGCAAAACAAAAAAAAAGTAGAAACGTTTCATCTTCCATCCTGAGGACTTCCTCAGTCTGAGGAGCTGTATTCAGCTCAGTCTCTTAAATAGCACCTTCTCAGGGTGGATCAACCAGTTTGCTGCTGACAACCAGAACCAGCTGATCACATGCTCAAGAAGGACCATCAGCCTAACAATGGATCATTAGCACACTGATGGCTGTTTACTGTTCACAGAGGGCTGAGTGATACTAGCAATCACAGCATTGTAAGAGGGGGACAGTTGAACCTGGAGGCTCCACCCCTGTTTAATGATGGACGATTTCTTTTCACAAAGATGGCCTCCTTTACTCCTCTCTCAAACCATCGTTCCTCTCTGTCCAGGATGTGAACATCTTCATCCCTGAAAGAGTGACCGCTGGCCTGGAGATGAGTGTAGACCTCAGAGTCCTGGCCTGATGATGTTGATCTTCTGTGCTGGGCCATCCTTTTGGCCAGTGGCTGTTTTGTTTCCCCGATGTAAGACTGATCACCCTCCTGACACTGAACAACATACACAACATTACTCTGTTTGTGCCGGGGGACTGGATCTTTGGGATGAACCAGTCTTTAATGTATTTTGGGGTTTAAAAGCCACTGGGACGTTATGTTTAGAAAATAAACGTCTCAGTTTCTCTGATACCCCCTCAACATACGGAATGACCACTGGTCTGGGTCTGGGTTCCTCCTTTTCACCTGATGGCTGACTGGAGTCCTGTTTGGGTTTCTTCTCTGCTTTCAGGAAGGCCCAGTTAGGATATCCACATTGCTCTAGAGCCTGTCTTGTGTGGGATTTCTCCTTCTGCCTGGCTCCTGAGCTAGTGGGGACGCTGTCTGCTCTGTGGTACAGAGTCCTGATGACTCCTAACTTGTGCTCCAAAGGGTGATGGGAGTCAAACTGCAAATACTGGTCTGTGTGGGTGGGTTTGCGGTACACCTCGGTTTGCAAATGTCCTCTATCAGAGACTGAGACCTCACAGTCCAAGAAAGCCAACCTGCCATTTTTTACATCTTATCAGAATCAGAATAAACTTTATTATCATTTCACCGAGATACAACGAGGATATGTACGTACAGTCGTCCGAAAGATGGGCGGAATGCACGAAGCTGCAGCTAAAATAACGCGGCCCTCTTATTCTTATTCAGAATAATATTTTGCTTAGATGCGAAAAGGAAAGAAAACATGAGGAGAGACGGTATTAAAAAAAGATCTCTCACACCGTGTCCTAGACAGGGCATGATTTGAGGCATAAAAAAAACTCCCACAGCAAAGCAACATAAACAGACGTTTTACATGAACATATAGGCCATGAAAACATTGAATTTTAAGGGAAAGTCGTAGCATAGTCCAGAGCCCCCCTCAGCCATTGTCCAGATAAGAGGTGACGTTCATCTTCAGCTCAGTTGAGGTTCTGTCACATGTCCATGTCCTTGGGGAAGGGAGGGGTGAGGAAACAGTCAAAGCATCTTTGTTTTTATAATAATAATCATTTTATTTAAAAAGCGCCTTTCATGACACCCAAGGACACTTTACAGTAAGAACAAAGATCAACAGGAATAAATTACATACAGAATATAAAATACATACAGAATATAAAATACATACAGAATATAAAATACATACAGAATATAAATACATACAGAATATAAAATGCATAAAGAATATAAAATACATAAAGAATATAAAATACATAAAGAATATAAAATACGTACAGCAAAGTTAAGGATAAGCGAGTCTAAAGAGATGTGTTTTCAGAGCAGTCTTGAACAGAGAAAGAGAGGTGGTGTTTCTTAAGTCAGGGGGTAGAGAGATCCAGAGATGAGGAGCAGAGCAGGTGAAGGCCCTGCTCCTCATGGTGGAGAGGCGGGCAGAGGGTACATGGAGGTGTAGTGAAGAGGAGGATCTGAGAGAGCGAGAGGGGATGGAGATGTGTAGGAGGTCAGATAGGTACGGAGGGGCAAGGTTGTGGATAGCTTTGAAAGTGAGAAGAAGAAGTTTGAATATGATGCATTATTTAACTGGGAGCCAGTGGAGCTGCTGCAGGACTGGAGTGATGTGGTTATAGGAGGAGGTTTGAGTGATGACACGGGCAGCTGAGTTCTGGACCAATTGCAGCTTCTGGAGAGATTTGTTGGGGAGGCCATAAAGAAGGGAGTTGCAGTAGTCAATCCGAGAAGTCACAAGACTGTGAACAAGGATAGCTGTGGAGCGGGGTGTGAGAGAAGGGCGGAGACGGTTAATATTTCGGAGATGGAAATAGGCAGACAGAGTGACGTTGTTGATGCGTGAAGTGAAGGAGAGAGTGGTGTCGAGGATGACACCAAGACTCTTGACCTGAGGTGAGGGGGATAGCAGAGAGTTGTTAAGGGGGATGAGAAGATGTTCTGATTTTGAAAGAGAGTTTTTGGTACAGACAAGAATGATTTCTGTTTTGTTACTGTTTAGTTGTAGAAAATTGTTAGAAAACCAGTGATTTAGCTCATTGAGACAGTCGGTGAGGATGGAGGGTGGGTGGAGCCGAATTGATCCTTTACGCCAAAAGTCGAGCTCACAGCTTCTCCAAGATTATTCCCACCATTCATGAGTGCTGCCAGTGAGTTAACAGTCCTGATAACAGCTGCTCCAGCTCCCTGCTGCAGCTCCACAAATTCAGTCTGAGCACTGTCGAGCTTCTACACATCCACACAAATTTATAGACAATCCAGAATTCACCAACCCAAACAGCAAAATAACCAGTTGTCATCATGAATCCAATTTGTTTCCGTCGAGGTAAGAGGGTCCTCCTTACCCTGACTCCTGTCAGGAGAAGATGATCAATTTTGTTGAGAGACCAGCTGATCCTTTGAATTAAGAGGTATGCAGAAAAAAAAAAAAAAAGAGGCTTTTTAAGGGTTCACGGGACAAAAGAGTGCAGCAGGGAAGCGAGTGGGGGACAGGGAAACATGTCTGGTTTCACCGGAGGATAGAGGAAAAAAAACTTGATGTATTTATCCACAGAGTTGATGTGGTCAGTAAAATGTTGGACTTCCTGAGATTTAATTTTAACCCAGGTGTCGTCAACATACCTGAAGCAATGACTTGGTGGTGTCCCTGAAAAGGACGCCATGGCTCTCTTTTCTACCTCCTCCATGTACAGGTTGGCCACAAAAACGCCAGATATCTGGCGTCTGTACTCATCCCTTTAGTTGGCAGCTCAGAACACCACATACAGAACACCATGGACTTTGTGGATAAGGTGAGGGATGTCATCATGGAGACTGATGAAACAATGGTCTCTTTTGATGTCACATCACTCTTTACGTGCATTCCTGTTGATGATGCAGTAGAGGTGGTCAGTTTAAGATTAAAATCAGACACCACTCTGAGCAGCAGGACCACACTTTCCACAGAACAACTGTGTCAACTCTTGAAACTGTGCCTGCAGTCAACCTACTTCACATATGGGGAGCAATATTATAGGCAGAAACATGGGTGTGCTATGGGGTCTCCAGTTTCTCCTATTGTTGCCAACCTGTACATGGAGGAGGTAGAAAAGAGAGCCTTGACGTCCTTTTCAGGATGTCAAGCCCCCCCACCCGCACACAGGTAAACAATCCCATCTCCTTTCTGATGGAGAGTCCAAGTATTTAAATGCAGCACCACAAAATATGCACAAGAATAAGAAAAAAATATATATATAAAAAACAGAAGTTGACCAAGCTCCAGGTCTGACTCTGCACAGAGGAGGGGGTTCAGAACTCCTCTGACTGGGCCAACAGAAGAACCAAGCATCAGATAGATGGATGGATGATGGATAAAAATAATTTAAATTAGATATATTTATTTGAGGCTGGCAGCTCTAAGATGACTAGTTTTTAGTGGAGGAAATATTTAGTATTTTAGAATAATAATGTCTGTATCCTGATGCATGCTCATGTCATGTCATATGCATGCTCAATAATGTCTGTAGTTACAGAAAACAAAGTTTTGAGCTGCGTGCATTCAGCTGCTGCCAAATAAAACCTAAAGATAAATTCATGTAAAATAATTATTAGATTCTTGTAAAAGTTTGTCATCTCAGTACAAGTTGATTGACAGCTGGTGCTGATTGATTCATAACTCTTCATGCGTGTGATGCTGGTAAGAAAACATCGTGTATTCACGTGTACAAGGAGAACATCAGTGCAACATCTGGTCTTTAACATCCTGCTGGCTGCTTGTTGTTCACAGAGAGATGAAGTAACAGGAGGTGTTGAACATGGAGACCCCCCCCCCCCATTTAAAGATGAACAGATTCTCTTCACAAACACAGATTGTTTATATTCTCTCAACTCCTCTCCTAGAATATGTAGATTATCAATAGAATCATCTCCCGGTGAATAGAAAACAGAGTTCTTCTGATCAATTGTTGGTTGCTGCTCCTCCTTTTACTGGTGAGTACTGGTTCTGACCAGCAGGAACTGGTTGATGAGTCCTGTTGACTGAGTTTTAGCTCCTCCTCCTCCTCAGACTGAAGAAGACTTTCGAATAAAAGACAAAACATTTTAAACAAGAAGAATGACTGAACCTGGTTAGATTATCTACCTGGATTATTGAGCAGCATCAGAGATAATCTGTTCATGAAGCTCCAGATTTAAAACGTTTATTCTTGTAACATTTCAGAAAAAAACATGTATATTTTGAATTTGTTGTTAATCTGTTATGATTGTGGGTTTGAAAGATTTTTTTCTCTAAATAAACTCAAAACATTTTGTCGTGGTAAATAGCTTTGGTTTCATATTTGATGTGTTCATGTTTATGTTATAGAAATATTTTAATTTTTAGGAGAACACTGCTGTTAAAAAGTGCCTTTTTAATGTACTAAACATTTTTTAATATTAAACAGTACCTTAAAAATGTTCTAAACAGCTTTAAGTCGGAATTTAATTTTGCGCATGCTAATGAGATTAATCAAGATTAATCAGAAAAATATTTTAGATTAATCGCAATTAAAAATTTTAATCATTGCCCAGCACTATATTTTATACATAAAATGTTAGTAAAAAATGTTTTCACCCTCTGTCCCGGTCCGCTCGTCTGCCAGGGCTCAGAATCCGGCCTTTGTGTGCTTCAACGGGGCGGCAGCTCGTCTGATCCTCCGCGACCTCGGAATGTTGTCGTCGGTCACCAAACACAAAACAAACGCCTGGACTTCAGTGTTCGAAAACCGTGTTGTCATTATTGTTTTTAAAATATTAAAAACAGGTCCAGCCGCCGCTCTGAGCTCAGAGTTATTGCAAATGGCATATCAGTGAAAAGTTTTCTGAAAGATCCAGTGACTCCTCCCCCTGACCAATCAGTGACCGCCAGTGTTCTGACGTCACGTTTTTATGCCGGCTCGGCCCGCTTGGACCCCTCGAGAAGAAGGAACAAAAAAAGGGTCCGATGCAGCTAAAAGTGCTCATAACCGTAGTAAAGCAAGCTTACCTGATCCGCCCCGTCACAGTGGAAAAGGGGCACAAGTTTGACAGGTGTGGTCTGATTTAAACCAAGGAAAGACTAACAACCTGATCTCATATGAAATAATACGTTCACAGCTCATCAATATGTTTATTGATAACTGTCATTAACTGTTACTCATACAATATATTAAGAGATTGTCACATTCAGGTCCATTAGTAATTGTAAAAAAAGACATCAGACATTAAATGTGCTTCATCATCTGTAGCTTAATTTGCTAAATCTATAGTTGATCTATGAATAATCGATCATCTGTATTAAAATTATTTAAATGTAAAAAACATCTTGGGCTCATCTTGTAGTTCAGTTCCAGTTCTTGAGGTCAGCTCTGCTGGTTCTGAATCTGTGATGTGGCATCCTCTGATTGGTCAAAGAGCACTGAGGCCACACTCTTCTTTGTTCTTTGTTACTTTTAAAGCGAGGCCTCCTGTGTCCACACCCCCTGCTGGTATTACATCATCATCACAGACCACGGCTTTCTTCAATGACATGCCCTCCTGCTTCTGGAAGGAGTTTTTTCTAGAGCTTCTCACACACACACACACACACGCACGCACGCATGCACGCACACACACACACAGTTATTAGCAATCATTAATTATCAGATGTACATCAGGTTGACGATGTTGAAGCTCATTGCTCAGATCAGACCTCTGGTCCTACAATCAGGCTGGTTTTAGAGGCCTGCATTGTGGAGAGGGTTCAGTGGTCTGCAGGTCTTGGTCCAAAGGGCATATGCCCCTTTTCCATTAGTACCTGTAGTACCAGTACAGCACGGCTCTACTCTACTCGGTACGGTACACGCAGAGATCTGTAAAGAGAGAGTTGTGACACTCCCATAGAGGAATGGATTGTGGAAGTGACGTGGCTCATGCAGCAGCAGATGGTTCCAACCATCAGCAGGTCCAGCGTTGAACCTAGTTCATTCTCCGTGTTTCTCCGGTAAGTTGATGAAAATACAACATTTTTTCTCCATTGTGAAGCGTTATCTGACTGTTCTGTACCACAATTTATCAACATTAATACTTCATGTCGCCAGTTTTAGTAAATGAAACATGTTAAATTGCTAGTTGTGTTTTAACTGCAGCTGCTCTGCAACATGACGGTTTAAACGGGTCTATTTCAAATTCAGTGATATTAGCAATCACAGCATTGTAAGAGGGGGGCAGTGGAGCCTCCGGGTTCAACTGTCCCCCTCTTACAATGCTGTGATTGCTAGTATCACTCAGCCCTCTGTGAACAGTAAACAGCCATCAGGTGCTAATGATCCATTGTTAGGCTGATGGTCCTTCTTGAGCATGTGAGCAGCTGGTTCTGGTTGTCAGCAGCAAAACTGGTTGATCCACTCTGAGAAGGTGCACTGGTCAGATTACTGGTCAGGTCACTGGTCAGATCACTGGTCAGATCACTGGTCAGGTCACTGGTCAGATCACTGGTCATATCACTGGTCAGATCATTGGTCAGGTCACTGGTCAGATCACTGGTCAGATCACTGGTCAGATCACTGGTCAGATCACTGGTGTGATCACTGGTCAGTGGAAGTTCTGCTGTTCTTCTCATCTGGTTCTGGTCCATGAACAACTGGTTGAACCTCCTTCAGTCTCACACGTCCTCACTGTGTCTCTGTCTCACTCGTCCTCACTGTGTCTCTGTC